GTTAACATAAATCAGTTAAATGACGAAAAATTAGGTGTCTATTTACTTGTGGCCACTCAGTGTATGAGAAAGGGTTGGCTGAAAAAGTAAAAATTAACAATAAGGATTTCTTTAAATATATTAAGGGTAAATAAAATGTTAGGATGGGAATAGGGCCCTTGAGGGATGATAAAGGAAGGCTAGTATCTGATGATTATGAGATGGCTGGGTTATCAAATTTTGCTTTTTCTTTGGTTTTTACAATGAAGATTTAAGTAGTTGCTAAATGGAAACCAGAACAAACAAGATGAATGTATTAATTCTAATCTGGTTAAGAAAAAATTGGGAAGTTTAAAAAGCAAGTTTTGAAGGAGGTTAAAGATTGGATATGTGAGCCATTTACTACTATTTTTTTCAGTCCTTGAATAGTAGCAGGTACCAGAGGATTGGAAGTTAGCTAATGTAACTCTTCTTTTTAAGGGAGGTGATAAAAATTGTCCCAGTAATTATAGACCCATTAGTCTTACATCAGTTGTGGCAAAAGTTCTGGAAAGTCTGTTAAACGATGCTTTGCAAAGTCATTTAACAAAGTTTAGAATTTTATTGGATAATCAACATGGTTTCACTAAGGGAAAAATCTTGCCTTACAAATATTTTAACATTCTTTGAAAAAAGTTACTGCTTATGTAGATGAGGGTAAGGGTGTAGATTTGGTGTATCTGGATTTTCAGAAAGCATTTAACGAGGTGCCACATAAAAGGCTTGTAAAAAAATTAGCTCTATAGGTGTGGGAGATGAGGTAGCAAATTGGATAGAAGAGTGGCTTGATGGAAGAAAGCAGAGGGTTGTTACAAATGGAGTTCAGTCAAACTGGATTAATGTCACAAGTGGGATACCTCAGGGCTCAGTCTTGGGACCTTTGCTCTTTTTGATTTACATCAATGGCATAGATGAAAGGATAGTCAATAAATTACTTAAATTTGCAGATGATATTAAGGTCTTGGGTGTTGCTAGCTGTGAAGAGGATGCTGCTGATTTACAAAAGGATTTAGATCATTTAGTGAGTTGGGCAAGTAAATGACAGATAATTTTAATTATAATAAATGTAAGATAATGCATGTGGGTTATCATAATTTGAATTATAAGTATAATTTGGATGGGAATAACCTTAATAGTGTTATGAAGGAAAGGGATCTTGGTGTAATAGTGGATCAGTCTCTAAAGCCATCCAAGCAGTCTGCTGTTGCTAATGGTAGGGAAATAGAATTTTTGGTTGTATCTATAGAAATATTGAATACAAGACTAAAGAGGTTATACTTTCATTGCACAGGTAACGGGTTAGATAGACCACATCCGGAATATTGTGATCGGTCTTGGGCTCTTACTTTAGGAAGGACATTGAATTGTTGGAAAGGGTTCAGAGAAGGGTTACTAGATGGTGCCTGGGATGGACGGGTTGTCATATGAAGGAGAGGCTGAAATCTCTCAAATTGTTTTCTCTTGAGAAAAGAAGAGTTAGAGGGGATCTGATTGAGGTGTTTAAGATTGTAAAGAGAATTGA